CTTAGATTGGAAGGCTTAACATTGTTAAGGTGACTACACTTCCTAAAGCAATCTACAGATTCAGTGCAATCCTCAGCAAAATCCCAACTGTCTTTATTTTTTTTTTTCAGAAATGGAAAAACTGATCCTAAAATTGATCCTAGAATTGCAAGGGATCCCAAATAGCAAAAACAGTCTTGAAAAGAAAAAAAAATTTTTTTGGAGGACTCACAATTTTCATTTTCAAAACATACTGCAAAGCTATGACAATCACAATAGTGTGGTATTAACGTAGACCAATAGAATGGAACTGAGAGCCCACAAATAAACCCATACATTTACAACCAATTTATAAATACACCTATATGTCTATGACCAATTTATTTTGAGAAGGGCGTCAAGAATATTCAATAGGGAAAAACTGTCTTTCAACAGGTGGTATTAAAATAATTGAATTTCCACATTCAAAGCATCCTTTGTGGCAGGATCTTTGACTCATGCCATATATAAAAAATTAACTCAGAATGGATCACACATCTAACTGTAGCAATAAACTATTAAACTCTTGGAAGAAAACATAGGTGTAAATCTTTGTGATCTTAGATTAGGTAATGCTTACTTTAATATGACCTCTAAATCAACTGGACTTCACTAAATTTAAAAACTTTTGTGCAAAGGATACTATCACAAAAATGAAAAAAAAAGATCTACACAACAGAAGAAAATATTTGCAAATCATATGTCTGATAACTATTCAGTATCTAGAATATGTTAAGAAAATTGTTACAACTCAACAACAAAAAGACAATTCAGTTTAAAAATGGGCAAAAGACTTGAATAGACCGTCTTCATAAAAAACATAGAGGGACCAGCTGTCAGCGTAATGGCTGTGTCGCTGGACTCCCATGTAGTCGACCGCGGTTGGAGTCCCAGACCCGGTGGCTTAAAACTCACGCCGGGCGCGTGTGCGTGCGTGCCCAAGATCCCGAGAGGAGAATGGAGGAGAAGGGATTGCAGCGTGACCATCCCCCCGGGGGGGTGATTTCTCGCTTTCTATCTTTGTCCCTCTCTGTCTTTCTGGCAAGCACACGTGCCCTATAGCAAAAACCTTTCAAAAAAAAAGTGCAAAAAATCTCATGTTCAACATCATTAGCCATTAGGGATATGCAACTAAAACCCATAATGAGATACTATTTCATATCCATTAGGATGGCTTTAAAAAATAAAAGTGAGGGAACCAGCAGTTAGCGTAATGGCTATGTCGCTGGACTCCCACGTAGTTGATCGTGGTTCGCGTCCTGGACCCGGTGGCTTAAAACTCACGCCGGGCGCGTGTGCGTGCGTGCCCAAGATCCCGAGAGGAGAATGGAGGAGAAGGGATTGCAGCGTGACCATCCCCCCGGGGGGGTGATTTCTCGCTTTCTGTCTCTATGTCTCTCTCTGTTTGTCTGGCGAGCGCACGCGCCCTATAGCAAAAATCTCTCCAAAAAATAAAAGTGAGAGAGAAGAAAAAATAACAAGAATTAGTATGTGGAGAAGTTGGAATCCTTGGACATTGCTGGTGGAAATGTAAAATGGTGTAGCTCCTGTGGAAAATAGTATGATAATTTTTCAAAAGGCTAAACACAGAATTACCATATGACCCAGACATTTAAAAAAATTAGTTTATTTATTTATCCATTTATTTGTTAGTTTTCAAGATGCTGAGTCCAGGACTCAAAACATGATTGGCCATATGGTAATCCAACATCTTAACCTTGCCACCTGCTGGTCCCAGGACCCAGAAATTCTACTTTTAGGTATAAACTCCAAAATAATTGAAAACAGGGATTCAGACAAATGCTTGTTAAAGAATATTCATAGACACGTAAGTCACAGTGGCCAGAATAGGAAACAACCTAAATGTCCATCAATAGATGAATAAATAAACAAAATATGGGTTACCCGTACAATGGAGTAGTATCCAGGTATAAAAAGGAACGAAGTGCTGAAACATGCTATAGCATAGATGAACCTTGAAGTCACTGTGCTAAGTGAAATAAGCCAGGCACAAAAGGTCACATACTGTATGATTCCATCTCTATTTAAAAAAAAAAATGGAATAGGTAACTCCGTAGGAATAGAAAGCAGATTGGTAATTTCTAGGGGCTGGAGGAGGGGATAGAAATGGGGAGAGACTGCTTAATGAGTACTGGGTTTCCTTTTGGGCTGATGAAAATGTCTGAAGCTAGACAGAAATGATGGTTGCGTAATTCTTTGTACTAAATGCTCCTGAATTGCATGCTTTAAAATGACTAATTTCATGTTGTGTGAGTTTCACCTCACTTTTTAAAAAAATTTGCCAGAGGGCACATGTGCTTGCCAGAGAAAGACCAGAGAGAGAGAGAGAGAGAGAGAGAGAAAGAAAATTTCTTCGATGAGGCATGGCTATGACACAATCTTTCTCCACTTCTTCATCCTGTCGGGATTGAGGGCATGCATGCACACACACCTGGCTTGTCTTTTGCAAGCTGCTGGGGCCAGGATTCAAACTCCAAGTTAGCTATATGGAATTGAGCTCCCTTAACCACCATGCCATGGGCTAACCCTCACCTTAATTTTTAAATAATTATGCTAAAGCTTCCATTTGTGTAGCTGTTCTTATTCTGTCTCTATCGCTCAGTGCCTTTTTCTGTCTCTCCAGATCTCTGTCTCTCTTTCAATATCTCTCCATCTCTTTCTACCCCTCCATCTCTGTGTCTCTCCATATATCCCTGTTTCATTCTCTCTCCTTCCATTTCTGTTTTTCCATCTTTCTCTCTTCATCTCTCTGTGTTTCTCCCTCTAGCTCTGCATATTTCTGTCTCTGTCTATCTCTTTTTCTCACCTCTCTGTTCCACTTTTTGTTGGTCCTCTTTCCATCTCCCTTCCTCCAAGCCCTGTGGTCCCAGTCACCATACCGTAAGGGATCCCAGGCACAGGCAAAGGTCCCTGTGGTGCTTGGCACACAGCCAGCCTCACATAAATGTGTATGTGAATGAACTGAGCTGAGGAGAAGCCAGCTCCACCTATGGACTGCTGCTCTTTTGACTCACAGACAGTGGAAGACAACACACAATTATTATGTTAAGCCTCTACATTTTGTAATGATTTGCTCTTCATTAACAGTGAACTAATGCCCCACCCTCTCATTGTCTTCCTCTTCCCGGAATCAACCATTAAATCCAGCATCCTTGATCTTCTGCCCTTGTGCCTGTGCCTTTTCATGGTGCCCATAGACTCTGTCTTTTTGTAGACATTTTTAATTTTTGTATTTTCTCTCTAAGTCACCTGAAGTCCTGGCTCCTGAGAGAAGTCTTCTGTGATTAGCTTTGTCCTCATCACTCGAGAGCCAACCACTTGTTCATTTCCCTTTTGGGGATGAGGAAAGAGGAGGGGTATCAGGGTGATCCTATGTGTCCAAGTCATCCCTAAGCCCCACAGCTCTCATCCCAGTGAGTGCTTTGTGGAAGGGCTCTAGGTAATGCCCACGTGGTACAGGTGCCTTCTCTCCCCATTCACAGATGGGAACAGGAACATCAAGGCAGAGCAAGAGGTAGACACTCGTTCATGTTCTAGACTCTGAGCACAGACTGCCCTCACCACAGCCTGCTGTCTCTGGTCAGAGAGCAGTGCCTGGCAGCTTTACTCCCCACCCTCCCTCTGGGCTACCTCATGTACCTTTGTCGAGCACAGGGCCAAAGATGGCCAGGCTGTTGTTGACAGTGGTGCAGTTCCACCGACGGCCTCGGAACTGGTGCTGGCATTCCCGGATGCCAATTTTGACACCCTCGGCCACGCTGGGCTTTGCAAGCTGCTGGGGCCAGGATTCAAACTCCAAGTTAGCTATATGGAATTGAGCTCCCTTAACCACCATGCCATGGGCTAACCCTCACCTTAATTTTTAAATAATTATGCTAAAGCTTCCATTTGTGTAGCTGTTCTTATTCTGTCTCTATCGCTCAGTGCCTTTTTCTGTCTCTCCAGATCTCTGTCTCTCTTTCAATATCTCTCCATCTCTTTCTACCCCTCCATCTCTGTGTCTCTCCATATATCCCTGTTTCATTCTCTCTCCTTCCATTTCTGTTTTTCCATCTTTCTCTCTTCATCTCTCTGTGTTTCTCCCTCTAGCTCTGCATATTTCTGTCTCTGTCTATCTCTTTTTCTCACCTCTCTGTTCCACTTTTTGTTGGTCCTCTTTCCATCTCCCTTCCTCCAAGCCCTGTGGTCCCAGTCACCATACCGTAAGGGATCCCAGGCACAGGCAAAGGTCCCTGTGGTGCTTGGCACACAGCCAGCCTCACATAAATGTGTATGTGAATGAACTGAGCTGAGGAGAAGCCAGCTCCACCTATGGACTGCTGCTCTTTTGACTCACAGACAGTGGAAGACAACACACAATTATTATGTTAAGCCTCTACATTTTGTAATGATTTGCTCTTCATTAACAGTGAACTAATGCCCCACCCTCTCATTGTCTTCCTCTTCCCGGAATCAACCATTAAATCCAGCATCCTTGATCTTCTGCCCTTGTGCCTGTGCCTTTTCATGGTGCCCATAGACTCTGTCTTTTTGTAGACATTTTTAATTTTTGTATTTTCTCTCTAAGTCACCTGAAGTCCTGGCTCCTGAGAGAAGTCTTCTGTGATTAGCTTTGTCCTCATCACTCGAGAGCCAACCACTTGTTCATTTCCCTTTTGGGGATGAGGAAAGAGGAGGGGTATCAGGGTGATCCTATGTGTCCAAGTCATCCCTAAGCCCCACAGCTCTCATCCCAGTGAGTGCTTTGTGGAAGGGCTCTAGGTAATGCCCACGTGGTACAGGTGCCTTCTCTCCCCATTCACAGATGGGAACAGGAACATCAAGGCAGAGCAAGAGGTAGACACTCGTTCATGTTCTAGACTCTGAGCACAGACTGCCCTCACCACAGCCTGCTGTCTCTGGTCAGAGAGCAGTGCCTGGCAGCTTTACTCCCCACCCTCCCTCTGGGCTACCTCATGTACCTTTGTCGAGCACAGGGCCAAAGATGGCCAGGCTGTTGTTGACAGTGGTGCAGTTCCACCGACGGCCTCGGAACTGGTGCTGGCATTCCCGGATGCCAATTTTGACACCCTCGGCCACGCTGGGCATGATCTCGACATAGTTCCTGCAGAAGCGCAGCTGTTTGGGTACCAGCCCTGGGATGCTGGCACACAGGATGGGCTGGGTGCCCAAAGAGGAGTATTGAGGACCAACAGCCAGGGACCTATTGAGGAAAAGGACAAGGAAGTTAACAAGGCTAGCCTAGAACAATGGGTCCAGGAGACCTGCCCATCCTGGGCCTCCCTCTAGGGAAGGAGACAGACCTTTTGCTTTGGGAACACAAGTGCATTTGAGGGGCAAGATGCAACACCCTAAAGCCATTAGAGAATGCAAAGGCTGATCCCAAGAACACAGAATGGAGGGTGGTGTGCTGTGATTTGGCCCAAAGTCACCACTAAACTCATATTTGCCCAGAGAGCCAAGAAGCCCAGTTTGGCTATTTACTTTAAAGGTATAAACACATATGTCCACAGTAAGATGTGTTCTAGAAGAGTCACAGAGCTCTGAGCATGAATGCAAGAACTTGGAAGCCACACAAGTATCCAGCAATAGGAGAGTGGACAAAGAAATGCTGGTTTACTCCTGCATTGAAATGCTACTCTGAAATTAAAAGCAATGAATTTGCACACATATAGCAAGGTGGCTGGATTTCACCCTTAGGATGCTGAGTGCGAGGCCTGCTCCGTAAATTTACCAATATACAGTCAGCCCTCTGTGTCCATGTGTTCCTCACGACCTGTGGCTACCCTGCATCAGACAGTTAGGTAGGGAACATTTCTGCCATAGGGAAGTTTTGCTGGGCCACGATGGTAGGGGATGGAGAGACATGCTAACAAAGAGAGCTCTGCCCACTCCCGGAACCCTGCAGCTTTTGCAGAGAGCACAGAACCTGGCATGTCAGACCTTCTTGCCTCATTAAATCAGGGCAGGGAGGAGTGACCTTGTCCCTGGTCTCCAGGGTAAGCAAAGAGGGGGACTCCCAAGTTTACAGCCTCTCCCCAGCCTCCTTCCTCTTAGGGTGCTGAGTCAGCACCCACCTGCCACCCTCTCCTGGGCAGGCCCTGGCTCGCCACCTCCCCACACGAACAGGGCCAGGGTGCAGGCGCCGGCTGCCAGCCCAGATGTGGCTCCAGTTGCTTCAGCCTCTATCAACCCAGACTGGCTTGCTGCTGCTTGCCCTCATGGACTTCAGGTTGGTGCGTGAGAGGAGGATTTCCTGCCTTCTCTGGACATGAGGGCCCCTTGAGTTCTTTGAGTTGCTTCCTGAGATGTTTCTCTTCCTAGAGGGCCAGGCTACCAAGAAGGCCTGAGCAAGGGCAATGCAGAACCTGTCTGAGAAAAGCAAAGAACTGGGGGCTCCCATCCAATGAGGAAGGGGTAGGAAAGCGTCAAGTGAGCTCATCTGGTTGCTGGATTTAAATTGGGCTTGAAGGATCACTTGAGTCAATTTTTAAAAATCATATAAAAAGTCTCGGTGCTAGACTCCCATGTGACCAACTGTGATTGAATTCCTTGACCCAGCAGCTTAAAACACACAGAGCATGTGTGTGTGCATGTCCCAAATCCCAAAATCCTGAGAGGAGAATGGGGGGAAGGGTGATTGTTCACTTTCTGTCTCTTTGTCTCTCTGGTGAGCACACACACCCTATTCCAAAAATCTCTCAAAACCCCAAAAACTCATATAAAAATTCCAAACTAGACATGTACTATCCCTCCTCCAAAGCCTCCAGGATCCAGCTTTTAGATAAGCCAAATCAATGATTGTTGCCCCCATTAATCAATGCTCAGAAAACCATGATCTGTAACTCCTTTCTCCCACTCTTCTCTGGGAATAAATAGGGGGTGGTGCTCTGGCCTGGGGTTGGGGACCAGGAGAAAGAGAGGGTCCGAGGAAGGAAGGAAGCAATGACTGCTAGGGGCTGACTCGGGGTCATGCTCTCCTGCAATAAAAGACAGATAAGCCCATCTTGGGATCTTGCCAGGGAACAGTGGCAGCCCTGAGTTTGGGAGGGGCCCTATAAACTGAGACGCATTCCACCAATGGGCACCTAGAGGACCTGACTCCTCAGGGTCCCACTCATAGAGTACATTTTCAGGACATATAAAATATGACATCAAAAACAACCTGGGTTCCCAGATCTGATCTTAGGACAGAAAAAGATATTCAAGCCCCAAAAGGGGAAGTAGGTTTGCCTTTAGCTGGTCTGAATGCACCAGTGCTGGTTTCTGGTTTTGACAAATGAGCCATAGTTATATAAGATATGAACAGGAGGAAAAATCAGGTGCGGCCTCAGCACATTTATTCTTTTTTTTTTTTTGGAGAGGTTTTTGCCATAGGGCACATATATGCTTGCCAGAAAGACAGAGAGACAGAAAGTGAGAAATTACTTCCCAAGAGGGATGGCCACACCACAATCCCTTCTCCTCCATTCTCCTCTTGGGATCTTGGGCATGCACGCACACGCGCCCGGCATGAGTCTAAGTCACTGGGTCCGGGACTCGAACTGCAGTCGACTACATGGGAGTCCAGCGACATAGCCATTATGCTAACTGCTGGTCCCAGCACATTTAAAACTCTCTGTACTATGACCAAATTATCAAATTACCATCCCAAATTCACAAGTGGAGAAGGAAGAAATACTGTTACAAGGAGCCAAGTGGATTGACACACAGTTATCATGGTGGAGAACAGTGCTTGGTTCTGTAGTGCATGCCTATGTTTCTTAATGCTGGCACCTGGGCTGAGTTCCTACAGAGCTTTTAGAACAGTGAGAGAGGCATTTGTAATTTCAACACCAACTATTATCCAAGATGGAAGCATCTGTGTTCTCCCAATGAGAAAAGCTCAGAAACCACGGATGCTGCTACCATTCATCACCTCCATTCACAACTGAAGGCGAGGCCTGACCACAAGTAGAGCTGGGTGGAAATAAGCATGTCATTTTCCAGTCCCATTTCAGAACTCTGGGTTGCAGCCTGCTGGGGTGTGTGTGCGTGTGCGTGTGTGTGTGTGCGTGCGCATATGTGGTGGTGGGGCAGGGCTGGCACTCAGGGGCTGCTTATGACCATTTGCAGGAATGTGACTTGAGATTTAGAAATGGACCCAGCTACCCACCAGTCATCTCTTCACTGATTTCTACTGCCAGTTGGGCAGTTGGGTAGGATCGCTGGGTGGCTGTTCATCTGAAAGAAGGTGATGACAGCTGCTCTCCCTTTCAGGAGACAGTGTCTTACCTGGCCATAAACCTCTCCAAACCCAGAAATAGGACATGATCACAAAGTCCCTCACCTAAGCACCCCCCACAGGATGTTACAGATGTAAATTAGGGTCAACATCTGAGCTAATCTAATCACATGTGCACTTTCAGAAGTCAGAGAGAGATGCAAAGTATGGAGATTTACCTTGCTGATCCTGGCTCTGAGAAGAAAGGTATCACTTTCTAGGAGCAGAGCATGGTCCCTGGGAACTGAGAACGACCTCAGGCAACAACCAGTCAGTTCTTGAGACGTGGTCCTACCAGGATAGCCTGGATGAGGCTGAAGGCAAATTCTTCTTTATCCCCCGCTAATGCCTTGATTTTGGCCTCCTGAGACCTTGAGCAAAGAACAAGATGACCTCATCTAGACTTCCAACCTGCAGAACTATGGGCTGTGGGACTCCCCAAATGTGTTTCATTTGTCAATGACAGGAGCTAACAGACTCAAAATCTCCCTGCTCTTCTCCCACTGGATTTTCTCTACCTTCCCCAAATTTCAGTGCCACCTAAACTTCTTGAGCCCAAAGGGGGGGAAAAAAAAAGGAGCTTCAAGGGGATATCACCTCTGTGAGCTCCTTCTTGTGTAAACTCCAAAGATCTGAGCTGCCATGGTTGCCTTCATCAACTTCTCACCTCAACTTTAGACAGCTCTTTCCTTTTATTTATTTATTTATTTATTTATTTATTTATTTATTTATTTATTTATTTTACTATAGAGATATGTGCATTCATATGAGAGAGAGAGAAAGAGAGAGAAAGAAATCACCCCTAAAGGGTATGGCCATCCTACAATCCCTTCTTCTCCATTCTTCTCTTGGGATTTTGGGCATGTACGCACATTCACACAGCCCACCTGTTTTGCAAGCCAACAGGTCCAGGACTTGAAATCAGTCATGTGGGACCTTGCTGCTCTAACCTCCATGCTACTTGCTGACCACAGCTCTTTCCTTTCTAGTGGTAAGTGTTCCATTGTGGATATATTTCACATTTTCTTTCTTTACCTGTCAATGGACACTTAGGTTGATTTCACATCTTGGCTATTGTGACTGGTACTGCAATAAACATGGGGGTGCAGATATTTCTTTAACATACCGATTTCCTTTTCTTTGGGAATATATCCAGCAGTAGGACTGCTGGATCATAGGGTAGTTCCTTCAAGCCATTAGCATTGCTCCACAGTTAACTACTGCCTGTCTCCTAATCTGGTCCCCACCTGCTTATGCTTCCCACCTGCCCCATCACCTGGCAGGGCTCATCAAAGACCTGTTGAGAGGCACTGTAATGTGACTCCTTCCAACCCATACCACATGGATAGGTGGTACTCATGGGAATCTTCTGCATCTGGAAATTGAGACTCAGAGGATGGATCCTTTGCCAAAGTGAATATGGCAGAAAAGAGACTCTAGTATGTTGGCCTTCCAGGGCTCCCCTTTCCAATGTCCTACCATGCCCTTCAAATCTATTAAACTCCCGACTGTGCAAAATAGCACTGATGCACGATTCAAACATAAATGTCATGAACAAAACAACCACCTTGAGGCTAAAGACAAGAAACATCTCAGGGGTTTCCTTGCTCTCATCATAAGGCAGTCATCTAGGGTGATGTGGGTGATGGCCCTCAATCATCAGATCTTGCATAGTTGGTCAACTCCAGGGTGCTACTTTGGGATTCTTGGGAGGCTGTTGGGTTAGGGGAGGCTCCTCCCAGCATGGCTAGAGATCCAGCAGCATCAAGATCACAAGGGATATGTGAGAAATCCAGGTTTGGGGATGAGCACTTTTTCAGACCCGCTGGGTCAGAGAAATGGAATGTCACTGGGCCCTCCAGGGCACTCTGGTGCATACAGATGTTTAAGAATTACCAGATTCTGCAGTCTCTGAGGCTGCTTTTGGCTCAGACATTCTA